TAATAGCAAGCCCTACCTCTCCCTTTTTTTTTTTCCCCCTCTGGGCTGCAAAGTGACCTCTCTATAAAATGAACAGATTGGACTAGATAATGACATGGTCTCTTGGTGGCTGGAATGCTCTGCGACTTTATCTATTTCTCTTTTTTTCCTAGCTTGGCATAGGGATATTTAATCTTTTTTGTTGTCACGGACATCTTTGGAAGTTGAGTGAAACCCTTTCTCAGAATTATGTTTTTAAAGGAATAAAATAAAATGTCAGATTACAAAGCCAACCAATTCTATTGCAATACAGAGATCAAAACAAAGCAAATTTACGAATCTCAGCTTAAGAACCTTTTCCTGTAACAAGAGAAAAGTAAGTTTAAAAAATGGTTTTAAAAGTCCCAAAGCTAAAATCCTTCTTATATTTTGTTATAAATATTATATATTCTTATAACATATTTATTATAATGTATTTTATTGTAATGTGTTTACTATAACACATATATGTTTTTAAAAACCAACTTTGGAGCAGAGAGGGAAGGCTTTTTTTCTCCTAGTAGTTGCATGATTCTTGAGAATCACCATACCAGTAACTACCCTTAAAAATATTAAAAGTTGGTTAATTTATTGCATTTTCTTGCACTTATTCTGCCATTCAATTTTTTCCTACAGGAATTTTTTTCTTTCTTTTCATTTTATTAGGTTAATAAAACTTGTTTTTCAAGCTTTTTGGAGGGGGGGTTCCCTAGGGTGCAATCATCCTAGATGTCAAATTCATCAGGTACCTAATGAAAGGACTTTGGAGGTCTCCAATACATCTGTACCTGCAGTTTTTGGTGTCTCATAAAGGTATGGACTTTGGTTACACTGTATATTTTGTCTGTCGGTTTCCCCAATTTCTCCAGCCAGATCGGCCGCTTTTTCAGATTTTATATTTAGTTTACAACACGGCAATTTCTCTCCACTCCCCACTACCCCCCTCCACTCACTGACTCCCTGAAATAAAATGAAGTTTCTGTAATAACAGGAACTAGAAACTTGTGCATAGGAGAATTTTAGAACATTCTAGCAAAGGGACATCGGTGGGAAATGCCTTCACTCTCATTAGAGAGAAGGATATGGACTAGTGGATAAAAAAGACATAGCTGGCTATTTCAAATAGGAAGTAAGGGCTGAAAAAAAATGCCTTTTTCTTTCAATTCTCACCCTTGCCCCCAGTGGAGAATGAGTCAAATACTTTTTTTCTGGTTGATGATGGTGGCAGTGAAGAATGGGTCATGTCTGCCTGTGGTGGTGGTGAGGTCTGTGTGCGTGGGGGTCAGCTTGCTCATGGGAAGCAGTCAGCCTTGCCCCTTTCCTGAATATCTTTTCCTCCTAACTAGGGGCTCTCTCACCTTCCCTACATACATATATTGTGGATGTTCAAGGTTTAGCCCATCCAAGACTTGAGACATCAGCTGTTCAGGTTCTCAGGAGAGACACGATTTTGGAGTCAGTCAATAAACATTTGTTATGTACCAAGAATTTTGCTAAACTCTGCAATATAAATAAAGACAAAAATCAAGTAAATCCTGACCTCAAGAAACATATTCTAGGTAAGTAACAATATATCCATAGAGATGAAAGTGGCCATCAAGATAACATAATCTGAGATTATCTCAAAGATTCCTAATCTTCTGTGTGTTATGGACCCTGTAGGTAGGCTGGTGAAGCCTGCGAACCCTTTCTCAGAATAATTTTTTAAAAGCCCAGAAATACATAGGATTACATAGGAAACAAATGCATATGCACACATACATGGATTCCTTTAAAAATGTTCAGAGAAAGTGTCCATATGCTTTATACATAAATGCATATGTATTAATGTATATGTATATACAGGTACACTTACATACACATATACATATATGTGCACACATATATGCACACACAAATTCCCAGACTTCATTCAGTTTAAGAACTCCTGATTCTAGTCCAACTTTCTCTTTTTAAAGGAGAGAAAATTGAGGTCCAGAGAGATTGGGAAGGGACTTGCCCAAGGTCACACAGCTGGTCAGCGGGAGAGACAAGACTACCTCTTAATCCTCCAGAGCCCCTTTTTTGGAGCTTTTAGGAAGGCATTGAGCAATTTCAGTGTAATAAAGTCGTATTAGTGTAGGGGAGTACTGGGGGTGACTGCATTGAATACGAGGTTCCTCGAATTTCCAGTTTCTGGTCAATCCCTTCCTATCCCTTACTTTTAACTGTAAGGTAATTTTCTTCTTCTTTAATAGGCAAACGAATTTATGTGAGGGCTCAAGGATCCAGCTCTACTTTAGGATTTTAATTCATTTCTCCACACTCCCATTTGACCCCATTAGAGATTTTTTTCTTCCTTTCTTTCTACCCCTTCTCTTTGGGTCTCTGTGTGTTCACATCTGCAGATGGTCAAGCAAAGAGCTATTTTGGAAGTCAACTAGGGTCTGCTCTTATTCTCTTGCTGGGGTCCTCCGAAATTTATTATCCACTCTGCCTTGGTGCCAAATTAAAGAGATCATCCATATTGGTTCACCAGATTTGGGGAGCTATTCCTTTTGATATTTGCGACACTGAGAACTGACTTGTGAACTCCCAGGCAGCAGAAGAATATTAATGGTGAGTAGTTCCCCATTTACCCTACCCCCCTCTCCCCTGCCCCTCTCACTTCACTGGGGAGAACTCTGGGAGGTCTGTAAAGTCAGTATAGACCTATATTGTAAGCGGCACTGAAACTGGAATGGCATTAGTGCTCCATTTGGGTCTGTTGTCGTAGTTAAAACAAAAAGACTATTATGAAGCCGATAGATCAGCTGCCGTAAAAGCTTCCATAAAGCCCTGATCGCTATATGAGGTTATAACAGCAGTGTTAATCTTCTCTACAGTGTTTACACAGCTAGCTCATCCATGGTGTCGCTGGACTTGGGCCAGCTTGCTAGAGAACATTCTTGATTAAAAAATGTAAAAGTTGTGTTGCTTTAAGCAGTGACCCCAGGAGTTTACATATACCTGGGTTATCAGTTCCCTCATAATTCATGGATCTGCATTGCAAATTTGGGGGAGGCTGGTTTAAATTTCACACTCTTCTAATCCATTTGGGTCAAAGGATTTAATTACACTGCCAGTCCAGTGTGGAGGCATCAGCCTGGGCCTCTGAGAAAGGAAACCGGGTCTATTTTGGAGATGCATGTCAGGAGGCCTCAATTTCACCCCCTTTTTCATAGAAATGTTTTGGGCTTCTGGTTGGGTTTTCCAAACTTGATAAGGAGGTTTATGGGTCACACTCGAGCTGAGTTTCTCCCAATGCCCCTGCCTAGTTAGCTGAAGTCCTTACAACAAATGATTACCCCAGTAATATACTTGAAAGTGTTTTTGACCCATTGGCATTCTGAAAGGTCATTTACAGGGGGAGAAGAAGCATTTTGACTATTAAAATATGAACTCATTAGAACATGAAAACTGAAAGAAATAAAAAAACCTAATTTTTTCCCTCATCTGTAAAACAAAGATAATAATAGCGGCCACCTCCCAAGTTGTTGTCAGGAACGAAGCAGAGTAAAGCACTTCATTGTTGTTGTTGTTATTATTATTTCCTTTTTCAAACTCATGTTTTCCTTTCCCACTTCCAACTCCCTCCCCCTATTACAATATATACTTCTTTTTTTTCCCCTATCCGCTTCTATATTCTTCCTTTATTTCCCAACTCTCGATGGGGTGGGGTGGGGGGGGAGAGGGCAGCAAAGCAAAACGTATTTGGAAAGATAATTTTCCCCATGACTGTAGGAATGGCTAATATCCTAAAGGTTTTTTCCCTGTGTGCAAGCATTTTAGCTCTATCTTCTCTCCTAATGAGCCCTACAAAACGATAACCCCTCAAATCCTCCTCACTCAGCCGAATTTCAGTCGCTTTTATTTCATGGGGGAGGGGAAAACAACCTTAGGATGGGCTGGCAACTGTTCGTTTTCATTTTTTAAAAAGTCAGTTTGTATTCTATATATGTTTAACACAATAGAACAAAAGAACATGTCAGTTTCCTTCTTTCCTCAGTTACTCAACCTGACTGAAAAATAGCCTCTTTGATTAAAATTTTACATATTGCACCTATGTCTTAGCTCCCATATTTAGGTGATCTGGCAAGAAAATATTCTGCTTTTGATTCTGGAAGAAATGGGGAAAAACCCCCCAAACCACTCCCTAACACACTCATGGAAAGAAAAGCATTTCTCTTAATATAACCCAGGTTAGCAGGGAAGATGCATCATGGTACCTGATCTTTTGAAAGATATTTGGAAAGGTGAGGTCTTGTCTAGAGTATAACTTCATCTCACTAGGGCAATGGGCACAATCTGGAATGCCCTGCTCCAGCACACATCGAGTGAAGGCAGCCAACCAGTAGCTTGCATTAACCCAGGCTCTTTGGAAGCAGGATCCATCTGTATCTCACAACTGATCATTAAATATAAAACTTTCCCGAGTCAAACAGGTTTTAGAGAAAATACAAATCAAATACTTAACACAGCTAACATTTCCTGTCTGGGGAAGCATTTGTTTAGAGAGAGTGAAGTTTTTTTAAAGTGTAGTTTCATTGGAAAACCAATTAATTTCCAGCCTGCAAGCAGGATGTATTAGCTTTTTAATATGATTTGCTTTAGGCTGGCTTTTCACAGAGCTGAATGTGTAGACATTTGGCCCAGTGACTCTTTGTAATGTGTAGTCAGAGGACTAATGTTCAATATCCCAAGTTGGGATTTATTTTAATGCATACCATTATCTCTGGTCACAGGAAAGATTAAAAAAAAATATATATATATATATATCTATCTTCCCCTCCCCTTCACCCTGCTTAGTTTCCTTCTTCTTGTTCTAGTCCTGAAAAAATGAATAATATATTTTAATTCGTTGTATTTCCTCTATTGATTGTTTAGTTAGTGACTTTGCCAACTTCCTGGAGGTTCATGTCGGATTCTGCAAAAGGACTGCATTTCCTTTTGGAATGGGGACTGAGAAAGAGAGGCAGCAGGGTCCGGGTTCACCAGCAAATTGTGAGTACACAACTTGCTTTCTTCCTTTCTCCCTGTCTGGTTTCCTCCCTTCTGCTCTTCCTCCTCTCTTTCCACGGACACAGATTGTGCCTGCAGCATAATCCACTGTGATCTCTCTCTCTCTCTCTCTCTCTCTCTCTCTCTCTCTCTCTCTCTCTCTCTCTCTCTCTCTCTCTGTCTCTCTCTCTCTCTGTCTCCCTGGTCTGGTCTAGACTTCAAGTAAAACAGGCTTTTGACAATTTCTTAAATGAAAAACAAATAAACACATAAACAAATGGGAAGTCCAAGAGACATATGACAGAGGGGTACAAGTCAGAAAAATGATTTCACACACTGTAATTACATATTTTTATTTCAAGGTTTGGAAAGATAGAAATTAGATAAAAGAATTCTGTTTGATTTAAAAGTAGTGTGGAGTTCCTCTACTGAATTTATCTACTAAAATATTTTCCCCATCTCCTTTCCTTTCCTTTCCTTTCCTTTCCTTTCCTTTCCTTTCCTTTCCTTTCCTTTCCTTTCCTTTCCTTTCCTTTCCTTTCCTTTCCTTTCCTTTCCTTTCCTTTCCTTTCCTTTCCTTTCCTTTCCTTTCCTTTCCTTTCCTTTCCTTTCCTTTCCTTTCCTTTCCTTTCCTTTCCTTTCCTTTCCTTTCCTTTCCTTTCCTTTCCTTTCCTTTCCTTTCCTTTCCTTTCCTTGGAAAATGTGTTTGTTTTCTTGATAATCACATATAGCAAACCACTGTGGGTCAGAAATTAAATTATAAAACTCAAATACTTTTATAAGATTTTCCTTCCCCAAATTAAAATGTAGTAATGGATAACTACTACACAGTAACCAAAGCCTTCTAGGACATGAATATTTTTCCTTGTGGTGGATATTAGAGGAATATTTGACAAAATCATTTACAAAATTAATCAGAAGGGCTGAAACAATTAGTAGACTTTATACTTTTTGGTTATTCATTTTTTTCTATGCTGAGCATAACGGAAAACATTGGAAAAACTCTGAAGAAATCTTTTATTTATTGCTATGCCAGAATTTATGTCTTCTCTCCCTGCCTCAAACAATTCCAACACGTACAAGAATTAGTAAAACAATATCTTTTAGTGAAAAGAATATGGTGACTTTTATTACCCAGAAAAAGCAATGAAAACTGTAATTAAAAGGCAAAGCTGCTAGGAGAAGTTGGAGAATAGTAGAGGGTTCTGCAGGCAAGAATCTGGCTCAGAAATTAATAATGGACAGAGATAGTATAAAAATATGATCGTATATTTATGAAGGCAAAAAAGCAAACAAGCATCAGAATGAAAGTTGTTTTGCTTTAACTGCCAAAAAAAAATCAACATGCAAAAAAATTCTTTTTAGATGTTATATTTATATGTTCCTGAAGCCTTGTATGGGGCTTGGAAGAATTGAGGCATGGTAAAGAGGGGTGTATGGGTATGTGCTCATATGTGTTCCCCAATAAATGTCAGTGTGTATCTGGAATAAAGTAGGCCTTGAGTGAATGGTGAAAAAGATAATTAAGGATTATTACATCTCTTAAAACTTTACAAATACAAAGTAGCACTAACAAATTCTCTCTTTCTCTCTGTCTTTTCTCAGTCTCTGTTTCTGTCTGTCTCTAGGTTTCTTTCTCTCTTTATCTCTGTCTCTGTCTTTCTCTGTGTCTCTCTCTTTCTCTCTCTCTGTCTCTCTGCCTCTGTGTCTGTCTGTCTCTGTGTCTCTCTGTCTCTCTCTGTTTCCTTTCGACCATGGTGTTTAGAGGGAATTTGCAGGAGGTAAGGGGACATGCCCTAGCTAGTTTCCAACAGGGATGTTGTTGAGAAAGGTAAATTGAGACTCCTGACACCACACTGCCTCCCCATCTCCCTCCTCTGTTAGGCTGTTTGTTAAGGCTGCCACTGAAACTATTGCCTTGTAAATCTTTGCTCACATTTTCTAATTTGGGTAATGTTTCTTATCCGGGAAAGCCCTCTTTATTAGCTGAAAGGTCCCTGCAGTGTCCATTAGATGGCATTGCTACATCTAGAGTCATGGTGGTGAAAATGATTATCAGTCTTGGCTGGGATGAATTCAGGGCTTCATCTTCTTCTCTTCTGGACTTTCGCCAGCTCCCTTATAATACTTGATTTAAATGCTTCCCGTGGCCCACCACTGAATGACACCTTTCATGCAAGACTGTCAGAACCCAATATTATGAATAATTACAGAATTTTGAGCTGTCTTTAAATGGGTTGGCTCCTAAGGCATAGCTACCAGTTGAGGCCATATGGTTTTATGTGTTGAAAAAACAAACAAACCAAAACAAAACAACAACAACAACGACAACAACAGTAAAACAAATAAAATCCAAAACCTTGGAATTGGAATCAGCAGACCCGGGTTTAAATCTGCTCTTTGGTACTTGTGTGTGTAACACTGGACAAGTAACTATATTTCCCTAGGTCTCACTTTTCTCCTAACTACAGTAAGTAGGTTTGAAATAGACAATGTGTAAGATTTCTTTCAGCTTGAAATATTATCAGATTTACTAACTTCCTGACCATGGGTATGTTACCTTCCCTCTTGGACCTTGATATTCTCATTTGCAAAAGGACAGGATTAAATGACCTGTGTAGCTCAGTGGGCCTGTGATGTCGAAGAAATGTTAACCATTTCAAAAGAATTTTCAAAATAGAAGATGAGGCAATGGACTAGTCATTTTAATATTTTATTAGTTACTTGTTCATTTTAAAGCAATAGGCATTTCCAATAGGTTAATTAATTTTTTTTTTTCATTCAACAACTACTTATTAAGTAGCTTCTGTGCAAACACATGTAATTAAGAAAAAGTCTCTTGGTGTCATGACACTTACAATCTAACATCTAATTCATATAAAATGAGAGTCAAATATGTTAATTACTGCAAAATCTGCCTGCCTGAAAAATAGTCGAAGAAGGAACATATAAAAAAAATAAGGACAGCTGTGCTATAATCATTTAATCTGTGCCTAATATTATCTGAAAATTAATTTTAAAAAATTAAACCTATGTCCCTGGATATAATTAGATATAGATGAAATGGTGACTTGCATTTCCTAATACTATCACTTGTTAAAAAGAAATACTAATCCCTTAGCTCCTCTGAACATTGATCTGAATAACCATTTCCCATTTTGTTACCAAATTTTCCCATTTTGCTCTTTACTAAAAGAAGTAAATACTCAAAAGACAGCCATTTTATTCACAGGACTGCAGAATCATAGAATGCTAGAGCTGGAGGGACCTTCGAGGTAAAATCTTTGTTTTTATGGAGGTGGAAGCCATGGCCTAGAGAAGGGAGAAGGTTCGCTTGTAGCTAGTGACTAGTGACTAGTTGCTAATTAATAACGAGCTGGCATTAACACCCAATTCTCCCAGTCTGGGGTTCAATACTTATCTAAAAGAATTGGCATATTAAACATGCCCGAAAGTTTTTTTTTAGTAACAAACTGTTATTTGTATTGTATAACAAAATGTTATACATATTGAAGACCTGCATTTAAATAGTACACAAAATGGGGATATTTTAAAAATAAAAATGATCTGGATAAAACTCAGAGCAAGACCTGAATTCTACCTTTACTGAAACTTGGATTCAAAAATTTCAAATTAATTGTCATCGGTAATAGAGTTAATTCAATGCAAGAAACTATTGAAGGTCTGCTTCTAAAGGCCATTTGACCCTAAAAAAGGTGGTGAAGTATGTGGGTGCATGAGTAAGGAGGAGGGTGGGAAAGAGGTTGTGGGGTGGTGGGGGTCTGACTACCAGGAGGGTAAATGAGAGGAAAGAAATATGTCCAATTAAAAAGTACTTTTGCAAGGCATTAGAAATAAGTAGATTTGATATCACCAAATGGTTCTACCAGTAGGGATTCCACACTTTATTGTTCTTGCAAGCTGAATTACAAAGGAATGTTGAGACTTAACAAATGCACATTGATAGATCATTTACTCTTAGTTTACTAATGCATAAATTCAAGTTCAAATTGGTTGGGAAGGGGAGCAGGAGAAGCAGTTTCAAATGAGCTCTGTTCTGCTTTATTGATTTTGCCTTTTGTGGAAAAACAACATTTAGAAACAGGAATATTAACCATAGAAAGGTAGATAAATTGGAAAGAAAAAACCCTTTAAAAATTCACTTCAGTTAATAAATGTTTGTTGATTGCATTGACTTAATGACCCTAAGCTAGGGACAAAAGGATGAAGAGACATAATGTTTATTATGCCCAACTCATTTCACATGAATTGTTTGTGACATTAAGAAGTCCAATCCTCTTGGCAGCATTTTACAAAGTAGTTGTTTCCTTAGAAGAACAGAGTGAACTATTTAACACATTTGTACGCGCACACACGCAATTTAAGGAGCTTTCTTGGCACAGGACCCATCCAGACCCATGCAGAAAAACGTAATTGAACATTTCAAAGGATAAGTTAATTTTAAGAAGAGGTGCCAAGTGATGCCCATTTAAATTAAATTTTGAAAACTATTAATTCCCACACAGACTTACGTTTGGGTTCCAGTCAACCTTCTTTTTGCCTTGTAGAGTTCACAGAATCACAGATTGTTTAGAACCAAAAAGGAACTTTGAGATCATCTAGTCTAACACTCTCCTCTGAAAGATGAGGAAACTGCAGAAGGTCACATCGTCATCTAGATCCTGGACGATGTCTTTTGACTCTCAGTCTGGTGTCCTTCGTGATTATAATTGTGACATTCTAAGTTGGCCATGTGGCCGCAAACGTTTTCTGACGTGAGTCTAAAATATTTCAGGCTTCGAAACATGAGAAAGGAAGCAAACATCATGTATGCTCTAATATTGAATGGTAATCATTTAGAAGAGTGATATAACTTAAATCGCCATTTAAAATTTTCAAGTCCATTGGTATGGGGAGCAGGCATGGCCTCAGCTGATGGGAAAATTGTCGCCTTAGATCAGGTTTTTCCTGGGGGAAGAAAGTATAATGGGTAAGATCTTAGC